GGCCCGTTCACTGGCTGTTGCACCGTACACAACCACTGGGGTCTAGTAAGTAATTAAACATGAAAAAAATGAGAACAAGATGAACTCGTGAAGTTAGATTCGCAGATAAGTATTCAATAGGCATGTTTTATGACTACGCCTAAGCCAAATAAACGACTTAAAAAAGTAAACCATTTGAAATAATATAGGCGCCCCAAATAATAGAAACCATTGCCTGTAGTTGAGCGACACTGCAGAAGTAGGCTCACCATGTAGGAATTCGTTGCCAAAGCCTTAAAAGCCGATGCGACTCGGGACGCCGTACGAATCTGATGGGAACGACGTCTCTCATACAAGAAATTGCCGAATTTTATGATTTGTTGCTGTGTGGAGTATGGAGCAACATATTAGAAGAAAGACGGACTGGGACAGGCCACTTGAGGATGCCTAAGTCTGACTCACTTCAGTCAAAGCTGGAGCCTTTTTGAGAGCCGCCGCAAAATTTAATATGCTCTCCACCGCGAAGGCTGTTGTGTAGGCGCCTCTTTCAAACTACAATTTGCGATGTGATGCAAAATTGAAGGTTACGAAAAGAATAGACCCATCAACTTCATCGGCTTGATCAACGAGCTTTGCTACAATGTGGAAGAACGGTTCCAGCTCCTTAGACGTTGCACCTTTGACGATAGACGCAGTGGCAAGAATGGTAGAGAGCCTGAAGTGTAATTGCTACTTACATGGCCATGAGTAGAAACCTACCCAGATGGTCCGGTTTCCTTGGCTGCAAAGGTAGCGAGTAGTTTCAGCACAACTTCCTTATTAATACTGACTTGGGCAATATTTGCACTAGAGACGAGGTAGTATAGTTGATCCACTGTTAATTTTTCCTTCTGCAGGGCGTCCTTTAACTGGTTAGGTTGAGAAACTTTGGGCTAGGGAGGAGAGACAGAGTTAAGACAATAAGACGAAGAGAAACTAAGATGAAAATTGGTGAACACTCACAGCACAAGATTTAACACCCCTTGCAGCGGAGAGGGAGTAGTATTGCATCTCTGCATCTAAGGAATCAAAGTGCAACTTCAATTGATCACACGGAAAGTCTTCTACAAAATTCTGATTGAAAACTGAACTCCCAATATATGCATAGTGAACATCTTTGATACTATCTTTGCTAAAATCCTTGAATACACTCAGGAAGTGGGCCACGTCCTGTGCAAGCAAAGTGCCAATCGGAAGAGTAGGCAGAGACGGCTTTGAATTTGGAGCAGCAATAGCAATCCCCGATAGAAGAATGATTAGACACCAAACCGTGTCCATTTCTACAACAGCAGCACGACTACATTATCCTTCAAGCCAAGAAAATCCTGTGAACTTCCCACTGACTCTAAGGTCAAGGCATAGGAAAGATAAGAGCTACGCTAATTACACTAG